TATCTTTATTTATCTTTATTTTATTTATTTATATTTATTTTATATTATTTTACTTTATTTTCATTTATTTTATTTCTTTTCAGTTATATTTATTGTATTTATTTTATTTTTAAAATTTATTTTTATTTATTTATTTTATTTTATTGAATTTTATTTTATTTATTTATTTTTTTATTTATTCATTTATTTATTTACTTATTCATTTATTTATTTATATTTATTTTATTTATTTTCTTTTTTATTTTACTTTATTTTTATTTATTTTATTTCTTTTCACTTATATTTATTTTATTTTTATTTCTTTTATTTTTTGAATTTATTTTTATTTATTTTATTTTATTTATTTATTTATTTATTCACTCACTCATTCACTCATTCATTCATTTACTCACTCATTCACTCACTCATTCATTCACTCATTCACTCATTCATTCACTAACTCATTCATTCATTCACTCACTCATTCATTCACTCATTTAATTCATTTCCTTTTACTCCAATTTCCCCAAATCTCACAGAATTCCCCCCATTTTTCCCCTCCAGCCCTTCCGGATTCTCCCGCCCCGCCCCCGGAGCCCGCCCCCAGCGTTCCCGAGGAAATTCCCAGCCGGAACATTCCGACGGCGTGCGTGCGACCGACCCACCCCCTCCGGAGTTTCGGGAATTCGCTGCTGCCGCCGCCCATGAATTCCATGGAGCCCAAAATTCCCTACGCGCCGCTGAGGGGTGAGAGGGGAATTTTTGGGAATTGGGGGGAATTTTTGGGAATGGGGGAAGGGAATGGAAAAAACGGGAGTGAATTAAATTAAATTAAATTAAATTAAATTAAGAATAAATGGAAAATAAATTGAATTAAAATATAAATAAATAAAATAAAATTAAGTGAAATTAAATTAAATTAAACTGAATTAAATTAAATTAAATTAAATTAAATTAAATTAAATTAAATTGAAGAAAGAAAATAAAATGAAATAAATGAAATGAAATTAAATAAAATTAAAATTAAAATAAATTGAATTGAATTGAATTAAATAAAATTAAATTGAAGAAAGAAAATAAAATGAAATAAAATTAAATTAAATTAAATTAAATTGAATTGAATTAAAAAAATAAATAAAAAGAAATAAATGAAATGAAATTAATGACATAAAATTAAAATAAAATAAAATAAAATAAAATAAAATAAAATAAAATTAAAAATAAATAAAATAAAATAAATGAAATTAAATGAAAGAAATAAAATTAAATTAAATTAAATTAAATTAAATTAATTTAAATTAAATTAAAAAAATAAATAAAATGAAAGAAATTAAATTAAAGAAATGAAATTAAATTGAATTAAAATAAATTAAATTGTAATGAATTAAAAATAAATAAAATGAAATAAATGAAATGAAACAAAAGAAATTAAATTGAATTGAATTGAATTAAAAAATAAAATGAAATTAAATAAAAAATAAATAAAATAAAAGGAAATTAAATTAAGGGAAAAAATGAAATAAAATAACAAAAGTCAAAAATAAAATGAAATTAAATTAAAGAAATAAAATAAAAAATAAAATACAATATAATTAAATTAAATTAAAAATAAAATGAAATTAAATTAAAGAAATTAAATTAAATTAAATCAAAGAAATAAAATAAAATAAAATAAAATTAAATTAAAGAAATAAAATGAAATAAAATAAAATTAAAAAATAAAATGAAATTAAATTAAAGAAACAAAATAAAATAAAAAAAATAAATTAAAAATAAAATAAAATTAAATTAAAAAATAAATAAAATGAAATAAATGAAATTGAAAAGTAAAATGAAATTAAATTGGAGAAATGAAATGAAATAAAATAAAATAAAAATAATATGAAATAAAATAAAAAAAAAATAAAAAGTAAAATTAAATTAAATTTAAGAAATAAAATATAATAAAATTAAATTAAAAGTAAAATGTAATTAAATTAAAGAAATAAAATTGAATTAAACTAATTAAAATGATGTGAAATAAAATAAAATAAATCAAATAAAATGAATTAAAATAAATAAAATACAATATAATAAAATTAAATAAAATGAAGTGAAAAATCAAGTAAATAAAATAAATCAAATAAAAATAAAATAAATCAAATAAAATGAAATAAAATAAAAAGTGAAAGAAAATGAAATTTTAACAAAATTAAATAAATGAAATAAAATAAATAAAATAAAATGAAACAAAAGGAAATGGAATTGAAATAAAATTTAAAAATTTAAAATTTAAAATTTAAAAATCTAAAATTTAAAAATTAAAAATTTAAAAATTTAAAAAGTAAAAATCTAAAATTTAAAAATTAAAAATTAAAAAATTAAAAATTTAAAAAATAAAAATTTAAAAATTCAATGATTTAAAAATTAAAAATTTAAAAATTAAAAATTTAAAATTAGAAAAATTAAAAATCAAACATTTAAACATTTAAACATTTAAAAATTAAAAATTTAAAAATAAAAAATTTAAAAATTTAAAATTCAAAAATTTAAAAAGTAAAAATTTAAAAATTAAAAATCTAAAATTCAAAAATTTAAAATTTAAAAATTTAAAAAGTAAAAATTTAAAAATTTAAAAATTTAAAATTTAAAAATTTAAAAATTCAAAAATTTAAAAACCCGAAATAAAATCGAATTAAATTTTTAAAAAATCCCTTAAAAATTCCCCGAAAACTCCCAAAATTCCCCTAATTTTTTTTTTCCAGGCTCCACCGTTGCCAAGGCTCCGGGTAAAACGGCCTCCCTGGGCTTCCCCGGCAAAGCCCGCTCGCCCCTGCTGCCGGTGGCCGTGCCCACGGCGCCGGAGGACGACGCCGGCGCCGCCGAGGATCCTGCCGGGGTGAGGGTTCAGTTCATTGAAATTGAGTTTAGTTTCATCTGGGGTTCCATTTATTTTATTTAATTTTGTTTAATTTAATTTTATTTTAATTTTTTTATTTAATTTCATTTTATTTTATATTATTTTCCTTTTATTTTATTTTCATGTTATTTAGTTTCATTTCATTTTATTTTATTTTCATTTTATTTGATTTTATTTAATTTAATTTTATTTTATTTTCATTTTATTTCATTTTATTTTATTTCATTTTATTTCATTTTATTTAATTTAATTTTATTTCATTTTATTTTATTTTCATTTTATTTTATTTCATTTCATTTTCATTTAATTTTCATTTAAATTTATTTTCATTTTATTTCATTTCATTTTATTTTATTTTCATTTTATTTCATTTCATTTTCGTTTAATTTTCATTTAAATTTATTTTCATTTTATTTCATTTCATTTTATTTTATTTTCATTTTATTTCATTTCATTTTCGTTTAATTTTCATTTAAATTTATTTTCATTTTATTTCATTTAAATTTAATTTATTTTCATTTTATTTCATTTCATTTTATTTTATTT